GCACACAAATGGCTCGTCGCACTCCGTGGCGGCGGCGGCTCCGCCTGCTTGCCAGGCGCGCTCGCCTCGCGCTGGGTTCGGCATGCGCTGCGCTGCGCTGCTCGCCACGGCGCGGCTAAAGGACGGACATTGACCCCCGCAGCGAGCAAGGCGAGGCAAGGGCCGCAGGGCGGGGGGTGGAGCGGGTGGCGCGGGCGGAGGGGGTGGCGGCGCGTGGAGGGGGGCGGAAGGGTGGCGAAGGGTGCAAGGGGAGAGGGGGCGGTCTCTGACTCAACTGGATGCATCACATCAGAGCCGCGGCCGAGCGGGCCGAGCGGGCCGAGCGGGCCGAGTCGGGACCGAGGCTTGCCTTCCTTCCCGGGGGGTCAAACCCTCGGTCAAACCGCCGCCGTCGTCCACCATGGTGGCCATGGTCAACGAACGCCGCTTGCATTCGGCAGCCAAGCCGAGCGAAGCAACATGCATGGCCCGGCGTTCCCCGAAAAGGATTATCCCGAGAGTGCCGTACGCACACACACACACACGCACACACACACACACACACACACACACACACACGGCGCGCTCACGCACACGCACGCACCTGCCGCGGAGCGAGTCTGTTCTATCCACGCTGATAAGATTGTGCGCCTGGGCGTCATCCCTGGCCGTGCTGCGCGGCGCTGCGCGGTGCTGGCCGCACGGGGCTGACTGCTTCCTGCTTCGGCTGCTCCTCGTCCGATACACTCGCAAGTGCCACTCGGCGGTTCATTCTGTCATTTTCGAACAGCCCGCCGCGGCCGTGTGTTAGCCGAGCGGCAAGGCCAGTGGCAGCGCGTCACGCACAGTGGGCCAGAAGACCGGTGGAGGCGGTCGAAATTCCGGACGGGTTGTGAGCTCCAGAGTCACTAAATGGGACTCGAACCGAACGTGTGACCCCATCAATGGATTGCTCTCCGAACGAGGAATCCATTGGTGGGGTCAAACGCTCGGTTCGAGTCTTGTTTAGCGACTCTGGAGCTCAAAACGCGCCAAAAATTTCGGCCGCCTCCACTGGTCCTCTGGCCCACTGGACGTGTGTTTGCCGCGCGGCAGAGCGCCACACAGATGCAGGCTCGGATGCAGGCCTGCAGGCTGCAGGCGCAAACTGCACCGCATAGCTGCACTCGCTGCACTCGGGGCAGTGACCCGCTATCATCCCACGCCTCCTTGCCCCCCCCCCCTCCGCCGCTACCGTAGGCCGCAAGGAGGAAGAGGTGATAACCAAGTTCCGTGCAACAAAGCTTTCTAGTAGCGAGTACTGTACGGTACGCTGTGCTCTTGGCGCACACGCTGACAGGGTCGCGCGGCCGTCCACTGACAAGGCGAAAGAATGGGGGAAATTGGAAGTGAAGGACGCTATCATCGAGCCCACTCTGCCCCGGAGGGCCAGGGCGTGCGCACTGGCATGTGTGTGTCCCTGGGACCGGGCCTCGTGGCGCCCCGGCCGCCCGGGCCAGGGCCACTCTGCAGCGCCGGGCATTTGCATCGCATGCCATGGCAATGCATTGCCTTGCCTGCAGAAGGATTCCATTCGTCTCTCTCGCACCCTCGCGGAACGCCCTAACGCCACGCGTGCGAGAGAGACGGGCCGCGTCGCTCCACTTGCACGCGCCGCACCTGGCCAGGCCAGCCAGCCAGCCAGCCAGCCAGCCAGCCAGCCAGCCAGCCTGCCAGGCCCAACCACCCCGCCATGCTCGGAGGCACTCGCGGGGGAGCGGAGTGAGGGGATGGAGGGGCGCACTTTCTGCGTGGGCCGGTCGGCCGGACAGCAGCCAGCCAGCAGCCAGCTCCCGCACTGCACCCCCTGTGGCGGCCCCCGCCCCGCCCGCCAGCCCCCTCTTCCTCTTCAACTCTGCTACCCAATCACGCCGAGCGAGGCAGAGCGAGGCAGAGCGAGGCGCCTCGCACGACGCAGCCCCTCGACGGGGGCTCGACGCCCACATGCGCGGCCCCAGGGACGCCCCCGGTCCGCCACGAGACGCGGGGGGCTGCCTTCTGAGCGAGCCACTGAGCCTGCAGGCTGATTCCGAACACTGCTTTCGTCGCTCTGTCTCCCTCGCACCCATGGAGCGGCCCGCAGGGGTGCGAGAGAGACGGAGCGACGAAAGCAGTGTTCGGAATCAGCTTGAAGCAGACCGGCATCTCTCGCATCTCCTACGCCATTCGACGAGTGTGAGAGAGACAGCGACAAAGCCCAGTTCTGGGCAATCGCTCTCCAGGCGAGGCGCACCCGTCACAAGGCCCACTCCAAAACTGCCTCATTGAACGTGGAATGGTCGGGCCGCTTGCTTTGATGCAAGTGCGTTGTATTGATACAGCGCATCGCGCTGCGATTCGTGGCATCGAGGGCCAACAGTGCAGCAGTGCAGCCGCCACTCCCAGAAAAGGTGCTTTCATGCAGGCCAAGTAAGTAAACGCCATCCATCACAGAAATAAAAGTCTGCCGGCTAGAGGATCCGGACAAGAACACACTTTTCTGGCCTCCAGCCTACACTCATTTCCAACTCACTTGTAGATTTTCGCTGAAAACGCAGGCAATTTGTGAGGCAAACGCCTGTAAAAAAGCGTGGCTGAATTGAGTGGAAACTCACTACACTCGCACCCATTTGTACATCATTTCCGTCGGTGGCAGACGCCTCGACGCGCTTTCGGGACAAGCCAAGTCCGCACGATCAGTGTTCGGAGTGCAAAAGGGTTGCCTTCCGAGCGGCTCTCCCGCGGTGCGGTCTCGCTGCAGAGTCTGAAAGGTCCGACCAGCGTCGGGCCAGCGTCAGGTAGACCGAACCCGAATAAGCCAAATACCGGCGCGCGGTACACTGGTACACGGGGCCTCCGCACGTGTCTCGCTCCACGCGCGGCCCACTGCGGCCCACATCCCCCTCCGCCATCCGGCGCCCCGCCCCGCCCCGCCCCTCCGCATCCCCGTCGGACAGCAGACAGGAATCCGGGTGCGCGAGGCGAGGCCTGCCCGGCCACCGAGAGGCCCCACCCAGCCAGCCAGCCGACTGTCATAATAAATGCCGGGGAATTAAACTGATAAAATTGTCCGCCGTGGCTCCGGCGGCTCCGGCGGCTTCATCCCGGGCGGCGCGCCCCGCGCCCCGCGCTCGCAGTGCCCCCTTCCCCGAAGGAGCCACGTGCAGCAGCCGGGCCGGCCGGGCCCGCCGGGCCGCCAGATCAATACAACACGCCGAGCGCCAGGTACCAGCAATTCAATTTCAGCCGAGCGCAAAAAAGAAAGAAAAGGGGAATGCAGGCGCAGCAGCACGAAGTTCCAGCCCCGAAACAAAAGTTTGAGCTCCGAGAACGGACACAGCTTCATCCGAGTGCAGTGCGCCGTCGTCGTGCAGTCTGGCGCCTTCAAGTTCATCAGTGTGGCGCCACCGTGTCACGCTCAAGTTTGCGTCGACCATTTGATTTCTTTGAAACACGAGGGACGTCAGATTTTGAAGGCGACGCTTCGGCAACTGGTAATGTAGGAGGGCGGCTGCCCCTCTGTTGCCCCGGTGCTTTCGAAGCCACAGGCGCCACTGGACAGGGGGAGGCAGTCGCAGACCAGGCAAACTGGCATTGCAAATGCTGGCTGGACCACACGCCGATGCAGGCCCGAGTGGTCCCAGCCTGCCGTACCTACAACACGTGGAATTCTACAGCGTCCCCGGCACGAGGACGTGGGTGGCCAGCGGCCCTCCTGCATTTCTACGGCAAGTTCGGACTTTCCGGGCGAATTCCCCCAAGGTAATATCTTCTTATTAAAAAAAGGTTTCTCCAGGAACGTGTGTCAGTTTATATTGCCACGATACCACCACGCATGGCTCACGTGGTGATAAGGAATATGGTGTATCTCCGACGTATATTAGAGCGTTGTTGGTTGTACTGGCGTAACTTAGCAAGCATAACGTAGTTGCACTCTTTAATTACATCACATGTGCGTTAGTTTGCTATCGGTTCGTCACTTGATGACAATTTCAAGGCTAATTTTCCTTACAAGGATGTCATCAAATCAATTGATGATATTGTTGTCCATGCCCATGCAATAAGTATAAGAGCTTTGATGAAAATGTCATCAATTTTTTATGAGATCGTCATCATTTGAAAGTGATAAAAATATCATCCACGTTTTTGTCATAAAGTGACAGCAAATTTTCACGGTGCACTAGGGGGGCAGTGCTGGGCCCGAAAGGGGAGAAGATCAATTGTGGTCCAGCCTCCGAAATTCAAGTTCAAGTAGCGCCGGCGAGGTAGGGCACCGACACGTACTGCAACACATCGGGGTGGAGACGGCGGCTTACCTCGCCCCTGTCAAATCTGTGAAGACGTCGACACGTTCAGTTGTGGTCTAGCCCGTAATGGTAATGGTAATGGCGGGGTAGGCCATCGTCTCCACACCGGTGTGTCACGGGCCGGGTCGGTGGCCTACCTCGCAGGCGCTAAAGGCCTCCAAGTCATCAGGACGGATGACCGGCAGTCCGCTCGTTTGTCGCGTTCTTCTGTGGCCACAACTTGGTGGCCACAACTTGGTGGCCACAACTTGGTGGCCACAACTTGGTGGCCACAGCTGCAGGCATGCGTCTGAAGGGCACTGCTAGACGCGCTGCTAGAGCATGTAGGAGCTCGGACTGGCCAGTCGATTTTCGAGGTGTTGTCTGTTGGCCTGCCTGCAACACGTCTCAGCCCCTCGGATGGCACACCCCGTGTGCGCCTCGTCACATGCACATGCAGTAAATTCGTGGAACAAACTCGTCTCAGGTGGCGAGAGCAGCAGTCTCCGTGAGGTGGATGTCGATGCAAGGCCGAAGTGTATGCACTTCGAAATAACTATATCTAACTAAGGGTACCATCCCTCTGGTGTCCCAGTAAGCAGACCTGAGTAAAAGCTAATTAAGTTCGTTCAGAGTCAATCAGCGTGACGCCATTTTGATCGGAGACTTCCTGATGCGGAAGTCGGAATGACAAAATGGCTCGAGGGCTAAACTCACATTGTAACTGGGTGATGATCCTCCGACAGTGGCTGCGGTGCTCGGCGTCTTATCCTTGTCGAACGTCGCGCTGTCACACCGTCACACCACGTCACGCACGTCTCAAGTTTAAATCACTAACTTAGCACGGAGTATTGACTCGTGCTGGCGGCACTTGCACTGTTAAACCACTTCACTCTGCACTGCGCGCACAACACATTCACAAATACACACACAGCGTGAACGGACCAACACACCCACAACTACTGTACAACGAAAACTTCTGTGCGTGCTTTTCTCGGCACCACCTTTGACTAAAATGCAACACTCGACTAAGCAATGAACTATACTAAAACGGCTCGGAGCCCAACGAACAATTGACTAGAAGGTGTGACTGACTACACTGTTCAGCCGATGGAACGCACCACGGACTCTCTCAATCCCTCTCTCTCTCACGCACACTGTTTAAGGTCTTCAGTCTTGAAAGCCACTCCTGCATTTCACCGACTGTTCACTCCGACACATCATGTTGGCGTGCGTGGCCGTGTCGGCCGTGGTCTCGCGCGTGCGGCGCGGCAGTCCGCGGGGTGCGCGAGCAAGAAGTGCGCCAACGGGTGGTGCGTGCCGCGTGCGCGTCCACACGGGGTCCTGGTCCGCACCGGAAGCACTGGCGACCAGGGCTGGCCAGGGCCTGGTTCGAGGCGCGCCGGTTCGAGCAAAGGTTTGGCTCGGCCAAGCTGCACCCGCTGCGGCGCTGCGCTGCGCTCGGCTCGGCTCGGCCGGCAACGCGTGGCCCGGCTTGGCTCGAAGCCTCTCGTGACGCGCGGCGTGCGGCGGGCGGCGCAACGCGGTTGCCTCGCCGGTTTGTTTTGGGAGCGTCGACCGACCGCGCGGGACTCGCGAGGCTCGCGACGCGGGGCAGCCCGACGGGGCCGACCGGGGCCGACGACGGCACGGGACGGGACGGGACGGGGCTGGTGACGGAACGCACAGGCCGCGGGCCGCGAGCGCGAGGCGAAGGCAACGGTCGGAACGGGGCTGCCGCAGGCTGCCGCTACGCAGGCTGCCGTCCTAGCAGAGCCAGTGCCGCTAGCTGCCGCCCCAGCGTCGTGCTGTGCCGGCTGCCTGCCTGCCTGGCTGTCTGCCTGCTTCTGCCGGCCGCGCGCCTCTGTGCCTCCACCCGCCTGGCCAGCCACCACTCACCCCCCAGCCACAGCCGCCCCCGTCGAGCGAGCCTTGGAGCGAGCGCTGCACGGCCCGCGAAACGCCCAACCCAACGCCCCGCGCCCCGACGAGCGGCCCGGCCACCCCCACACGGCATGCCCAATGCTCAGGCATGCCGCTGCCTCGCAGCCCCGTCGCAATGGCCTTCCACGTGCAAGCGCCAAGACAATATACCGGATGACGCGAGACGTGAGCTAAAAGCCAAACCCCTCGTGAAGTGGCCAATTTGACACTTTTCGGGATCCAGGTGAGGACTTTCTGACACATTGAGATTGCATACTGGTAACTTTTGAGCAGATGACACCTTTACTAATAAAGGTGTCAGCTAGCTTTTACTCGAGAGTCCAGAAACCAAGTGTGTGTCCTAACAATATTAGGGGCTGGCTGCCGGGGCGGGATAGTGAGTGAGGCGAGGCTTGGCTCGCAGTCTGTGCGGAATATCGCGCAACAATGCCTCCCGGTTCGGCCCGGTTCGGCCCTGCTCGGCGACCGTCGCGACGGGCGATGCAGGCCACAGCTCGGCTGAGCTCGGCACGGCTAGTACCGGCTAGTACCAACACCGGCCAGCTCGCTCGGGTCTATGTATTTAATTGGTCTATGTATTTTGTTTCATACACAATTTTAAATACTATCTTTGGAATGAGCTAGTGTTCCGGATTGGGTGGGCGGTCAAAACCCGATGACTCCAGAGCGACTCTAGAACTCGGCCGGTGAATGCAGTGCCAGCCGCAGGCACTGCCGACGGGATAGCTTAGGCCCTACGCCAGCCTACTGACAGTGCCTGCGGCTGGCACTGCATTCACCGGCCGAGTTCTAGAGTCGCTCTGGAGTCATCGGGTTTTGACCGCCCACCCAATCCGGAACACTACCCCGTAGAAGAAAACCAAACGAGTATCATCTGCTTTCATTAACGTTTTTGACTGAACTATCGCCGCATTCTCATGGAAATGAACCACCACACCACCATAAACCAGACTGGCTCAGCTGACGGTGCCCCAACAACACTGTCATGAAGCTCATTCCGCTGGCGTTGAGTGACCGTCTGGAAGGTACGGAAAATGCAGTACTATGCCCTGTAATGCCTGCAAGCTGTCCCGCCCGCGGTAGCGAAATCCTGGTGCCCGGCCTGCTTTTATGAGGGCTCGAGCGAGAATCTGTTTCTCCCCTCACTGCAGCGGCCCTTTGCTCAAGCAGACTTTTTGCTTTTTATTGTGTGTGAAGATGACAACTTTGACAGTTGTTCGGAAAAACAAGACTACTTCATAGGATATAAACTAAATTACACCCAGTTTTGTGAGACTGAGGTCTGAAATAAGGGATTCAAAAACTTATGAGACTCTGTGGGGAATTCAGCTATAGATATATTTTAGTCTTCATGATGCATGGGCTAAAAGATGTGAAAATAAGCACAAACATGGCAACAATTTTATGTAATTCATAAATAAGTAAGAGGTATCCCACATAGACATTTACAAAACAAATACAGCCCCTTTCTTTTAAATAAACAGTATACTATGGAATTTTCTCACATGTTTTGCTTTAGTTGATATCTGAAACAAACCAAATAGTATTGCTCAATCATCCAGATGACGAAATTTGACATTTCAAACCCATCCTCAAATAATTTTTTTAGCAATTAACTTTTTCAACACCCACCTGTTTGACTAAAAGGGTTGCCTTCTAGGGTCTTTCAAAAGAATAGTGAACTTTACCAGGCAGTGGGTACTGCTTCTCACACTGAAAATGAAACAAAATAAAAATTTGAAGTAACTTGTTAAATGAAATTGATCAAGGTAAAACAAACTCCATAAAATTTTGTGAACAGGTCATATAACAATAACATTCTTGTATTGTTATTATACCAGAAATTTCTGAAGGAAGACTCAAAATTTCTGTGTTGCAGTTCTTAACAAAATTTCATGAGGATTTTATGTCACCTTACGCAATTTGATACAAAGAAAGATACTATTTCTTTAGACATACCACAGGTCTGTGAATAGGATATGGATCAGCCAGTAGGGCAATTGCAGCCGCAAGGGCCATAGTCACAACAAAATATTTCACCATATCCGTCTTTGAAATACCCCAATCCTTGGCAGGGTCTAAACGATCTTCACCATAAATTTCGAAGTTGTGGTGTAGCTGCAAAAGAAGAGTAAATAGTTAGTTACTGATCACTTGACCAGACAGCCATACACATAGCATTATAGAGTCTGAAGATAAAATACTTACAGGTTCACCATAGTTAATTCTAAATTCTGGATAATCCCATGGATAGTTTGGATCCTTGGAGTCTGCTCCAATATCAGGTAGATGGGGATAATCTCCCTTACCCCATCCATCGTCTGCGACTGGTTTGTATTCATGAGGAAGCAGCCCGTATTTCTTAGCAGCTGCAAGTCTTTCCTTTTCCGTTTTGGGATAGGGGCCGGGGATGAAGTCGTCCATGTACTGTATGCCCGCTAGATAAAAAAATGTCATTATTCTGTGAAGACTAATGCATTTCATATCAAACAGTAATAATGTGGGAGAAATGACCGTCTAGTGAATAAATAGCTTGATTTTAAAGGGATTAAAGTGAAAACTTCTGGTTACAAAAAAAGTAAGAACCTTTCATGACAGTGTGATGTTGTATGATATTTCAAAGTCAGGAACTGATGAAATCTCAATTGAAATATTGGGCTTAAAGACTAGGAATTGAGATAAGAACTAACTGAGCCACACCATTCAAAGAATTCCTTACTATTATTCTGTACTCTGATTGAGAGGTTAAGATGACAGCCATACCTTGACGTGCGCTGTTGTACAGGAAAGTCGGCTGAAGCACCCCAACTTTGCGGGTGACTAAATGCCTGAGAAAGGCCATCGTGTGTGGCGTTTCTCCAAGGCAGCTGTTGCTAATCAGAAAATGAAAATTTGAAGGACAAATGTCGCCCAGCCAACTGCCAGGAGCAGAGAGCAGACAACCTGGAACAACAGCTGAGCGACGGCACAAAGCAGAAATCGGTGAAAAGTATGAAAAAGTTTGCATGGTTGTATTTTTATGTGTTTGGTTCATCTACTTTTCATGACTGATAAAAGTATCTATCCATAAATCACCTTAATCACATTTTTTAATAGAAGTAGAGTACTTGGTGCTCCAATCACATGATTAATTTAACTAAATTTAATATTTATTTTTAGTATGAGAAATTTGACGTGTAGAAAAAAGAGCAGAAGCAGAGAAGCCAAAAGAGCTGTCAACTCTTCGAGCCTTATTCTTTCATTGAAACAACAAAATTCATTTCAAAGTTTCGAACTGGTTTGCCTCATGAATGAATGAATCACCTGGCTTCGTTCACGTGACAACCGTGTCCGTGGGACATCACTCGCACCAAGAACTAGACACGAGAATCGCTGAGGTTAAGGACAAATGCTCACGATAACCAGTACTCTGCAGCTGTATACAAGATCTGTTTGATAATGTCTACCACTTCTAAAGTGGTGCTAGGAGCGTCGTGCTTTGTGTCATTCGGAATTGTTTTAGGAGTGCATTACAAACAACAGATGGACAAGTAAGTCTCAGAATCTCAGATTCTAGAAATGTCTCTGATTTGCACTATCTTTGAAAACAACTCTTCGTTTCAGAGAAAAAATGCACCAAGGTGTTGTTCGTGACCAAGCTATTCAAGAAATGAAGCGGAGGCAGAATGTTGTTTTGCTTGACCAACAAACAGTACTGACACAAATGCTACGAGATCAAGATAAAGAAATGAAAGGAACTTGAAATGTGTCTCTCTGTTTTAGTGTGATACAAATGTGATTCAATGAATATAATTGCAAACTCCCAAGAAATGCAGGAAGTGTCCGGGAAAATAGTTTATTGATGTATTTAGAAGCAGTGTAAGAAAGGGAATAAGCAATTAATCAAATTGTAATGAAGTAAAATAATATATTTTTGTGGCTGAATGAGATTTAACATAAATGCTTCAAACAAATTTGTTGCAACCGCAACAAACTACAAAGCACCACAATCACAGTAATAATGCTGAAGCATCACTGCTCAAATTGCAGCAGAAACAGATTCATCCGGATTCACCAGCACAATGTAAATGACAGTGAATGGTATAATAACACAAATGCAATTGTAGAATTATGTTTTTCGTACAGGAATATGCAATACACAAGGCAATTTAAGTTCATCTGAAGGTCTGTCGAAATTTTTTTTTATATGAATTAACTAACTTAAGACCATAGTGATGACACTTTTTATTTGAGCAACTGCCGTTACTAGCCTCATGGGCAGTGAGCCTTTCAATTTTCACTGTAGTAAATAACTTCCATGTGATCCAAAGTTACAGGTAGCCATGTACAAATTATATAGCAACTAAAATATGGACCACAAATGCAGTTTAATAGAAAAATATGGAACACGTCTGCACAAAGAATGAAACCTGACCCAAACCATCTCTTATGAAAATTACATCGTTGGAACTGGTCCCTGCAGATAAAAGTAAAGCAAGCTGATCACAAAATATGAAAAATATTGAACATTCAACAGTGAATAGTAGGTACACATGTGAACAAAAGTGGGTACTCAATTACTGGTAAACAGAGGAGTGGATAGGTCCAACGGTGTAATTTCCTCTTCAAGTTTCATGTAGGTGACACAAAACTCTAAAAATACAACTTAAACAAAATATTGTACTGCATTCACTTAATGATACAGAGATTCGATATCAGAGTCGGAATGGAACCGTGGAAGCAAAAAGGCAAATTACACTCAGTAGCTAATGAACACTAAAATTACACCACATGTAAAAATATATTTATGAAAAGTGGGAAAAGAAATGTGAATTTTTTTATACATGACAATACAGTATAACTTGAACAACAATGACACACAACACCATGGAAAATGAGTACACAAATGACAAGCAACGTATGAATAGGTACATATAAAAACTTATTTGGTGTTAGGTCCTTTATTCAAGAGGGAGGAATAAAAAACTATATAATACAACAATCTTCATGAAAAAGCTAAGACCTGACTTACATGGGAGCACTTTGGTATGCAACAATGAGATGTGATCAGTATAAAAGTATATAAAAATGTTCAGAGGTAGCATACAGCACATGTGACATCACTAAGACACAACAGTCTTTCAACAGATTGAATCAATCATAAACAGACATGAGCGAGGCAGTAATCAATTGTTCATAAAAATCTACAAAAACAACTGATAAGGTCTAAAGCTCAATCACACACAATGTAGGCAGTCGGACTAATTCCCAATTTGAACTGAAGTGTTAATCAAATGTTAAGATAAGGAGAAGCAACAGCAAACAAATAACAATGCTGCAATCCCTAATTTATTAGGTAGGAAAAAATAGGACCTGGACCTAGACTCAATGCTAAATTTTTCAGAGCAGCAATTGAATGGAAAAGTAAAAATTCACATAGATTGAGAATGGAAGGACAATTATGTATATTTTAAAATGTAGAAAAACCAATTATCTTAATTCCTGTCCTGTGTTAAGTACAACCTTTTAATGGAGAAGTATCACAGAATACATTTGAAGAAAATATGCAGAATAGGAACTAGGGAAGAATACTAAGATAGTAGTTGAAAAGGGAATGACAATTTTACCACAGATTGACTTGGCTTCACAGCAACTAATAAAATATTTGTGAGGAGAGGTCTTGAATGGAAAAGAAATTAAACACTACAATATAATCATACAAATTGTAAAAAATATAAATGTATAAAACAGTGCAGATTCTCAAAAGTATACATACCCGTAAGTTTGTAAAAAAGAAAGGGAGGGGGGATAACACTAAAATAGAAACAGAGAAACTTTGTATTAAACATGATATTCTCTATCCATGACTCTAATAAACACTATGAACAAAGTTAGTACTTTGTCCAATCAGAGGAGTAACTGCTAAGGCAGTAGTCTTCACTAAAATCCTAGATAAAAAATAAACAATCTTAATAAACGACAAAAATAATTAGAGATACTTCATACTGTACATGGGCAAGCTGGTGCTTGTAAACAGATGGAATGTGACAGGTATTTTCAATATTGAGTTGAAAGCAGTGCTTGCCATGATAAATACAACAATAAAATATAATAATAACCATGTTATAACTTTGTACTATAAATACATAGACTAATTTGGTTGCAGCATCCTAGCTGCAAAACACTTTTTCAGTGTCACCAGAAAAACACCAATGTCCCATCCTAAGTTAATGCATTCTAGCTTTTAAAATTGAATTGATTACAATAGCACTGCAGTTGGCAAACACAACAAGTATACACAACTAATAAATTAAAATATATACATTTGAGCTGATTTATGATTTACAAGATCTAACACAGGTAAAACAGAATGATTGATAACACATGGAAAAATCTAAGGAAACAGTCTATTATTTACAATCAGAACAGACTGTTCACCTGCACCAGTAACTAAAATTAACCACACAGCCTTGAAACTGGGTCAACATGATTGCTTTCAAAACCTGAAATGGATATTGCTCATAAGTCGAGAAAGAGAGAGGAACAATTTAGTTTTACTGCCAGAAAAAAGACAATGAGAAATAAGAGATAGCAGTATAATTGGGGAAAAGGGGGGTCCTGAAACAATCCATTGGACACCAGTGGTTTATAACTAAATCTAGCTCCACATTTTCCTCATTTCCAGCAGAGGAAATATGTAACTAATCATGTTTCCAGCTCTTGAAATTGGGGCACTGTTACCTTTCCTACAATAACTATGTATAAGATTCAGTCTCCAACCTTGGTCTTGGCTAGTGAATTGAAAATTACCTTTAAAACAATATATTGGAAAAATGCAGTGTTCACTAAAGAGAATTTGATGTTCTAGGCGGTTCTAGGGGTGTTACAACCCTAAACAACACACTTGAACAGATTCAACATTGAGACACAGGTCAAAATACAGCAAGACAATGAATAAAACAAATTATTAGGAAATCTTAGACCAGTACTTACAAGCTCAAAGCTTCCAATATAAAAGTACTTTTATGTCTGTAAAATTAAACAACTGCTATAATTTGCTTGTCTTGGACTCCCTCTTAAAAAGACAACATCTTTAGTCATATTTAAATAAAAATAAATACAAAGCAAAGTTTGTAAGACTGTGAAGTTCAGACTGAATAAGTTCTTGAGATTCTACACACAAGATTTCGCTTGGAAACATGTTTCATGTATCACAAAATAAAGAATTAAACCTACATAACAGAATTTACCCCACAGTTAAGGGGCAAGTACATCAATCCTGAGCTAGACAATCAGTAAGTCACACTGAATTGCACACACAGACACACACTCAGTCAGTTTATGAGAAGAGTGAGGCTTCATCCGTTGGGGCCAACAACTGAAACTTTGGGAACGTCAATGAAAGGTTTGGTGGAAAGATGGTGCACTGGAACAGTTGACAAAGTCACTAGTAATTGTTGTTCTGTTAAGTCATTGCTACCTTCACTGGTCTCTCCCAGAAAACTACTACTTCTTCTGCTCTGGTCTCCATTTACACTGCTATGGGAGCTATTTGTGCTGACATTACTATTGTGGATATCATTGTTGTTATTGCTTTTGTCTTGGAAACTTTGGTCAATTTCTGTGATCTGAGTGATGTTTAATGAGTCAACAGTGGTATCTCCTGCTTCTCCACACAAATCCTCATACTCTGACTCACAATATGTGTGGGACATGCTTGGTCTGGCTGACAAGAGTTCCACCATTTCCTCCGAATTTCCCGAGATGGATCTCTCATGACCATAGCGAGATGGCAAGTTCTTGCTAGGAATGGGAGAATCACACTGAAACAGAAAACAGACCATATTAATACATATCACCTGATTTGAGAAAAGCGTGACATCCAAACAATGAATGGAATAATACCTGAGGATTTTCAGTGATATTAAACACATGTCTAGGCAGGACTCCACTCCAACAAGGCGAGGTTCTAGCTTTAGCCAAGTCCTTAAACAGGATTGAAAAGCATGAAAATAAAAGTTACAATTATACTGAATACCTCAACTGATTGGAATATTTATTCACCTTCATTTCACCACTTTGATGAGCAATGTTGGCACCAATGGGTGTAGGATTGGACCCTGGCGGTAGCAATGTAACATTGCCTTCCTCTATATCTTTCACGCTGCTTCTGTCGTGGACTTCCGTGTCCACCCGCCTGACCCCCAACGGATAGCAGTACGGGCCAGGATCTCGCACCACGAAAGAAGTGAGGGGCAATTGTCCATTTATACTAGTACCATTAGGCTGGTAAGAGTTCGGTGGACTTGTACTAATGGAAGTGCCTCTTCTACTTGACCGATTGATCGTGTGATGCCAGAACAAGGCCATCACCAAGACGGTGAATGCAATAGATCCACATATGCTTGCACTTAAAACTATAAACAGAAGAGAAATGGATGGAGAGAGGGGATAATTTATACAACTAAGATTCAAGTTGTTTTCATTTCAATGTGAGTTTGATAAAATTAAAATACCATACCTAGCCGAACATCTGGAGACTGTGTTGCAAACTGCTCTCCAGGAGGAGCCTGCACAACCTCAGGGGATGTTCCAAACACCATCTGTGTAGGTGAGGGAGGGCTAGTTCCACCTCGGGTTATGCCCCAAACTGTCAATTGATAAGCTGTGAATGGTTTAATACCCAGCACCTGGAAATAATTACCATACAAATTTAAAATTTCATCGACAGAAAATAAATTAAAGGAGACTGGCAAACAAAGAGGAGTCTGCAGAGAAATCACTACACAAACCTCAGTACTAGAGCGAGATCCATTAACAAGGAGGTAGATGGGTGCACTACCATCCAATGGAACCATGGTTATATTAAATTGTTTGACAGGACTATTGGGACCCTTCCACATCACCTTGACTGCTGTTGAGTTGAACAACTCCCAACTAACATCCGTCACAACATCAGGAGCTGCAGAATAATTAAGATGTTTCAAAAATTGTATTTGTAAACTAGAAGAGAAATTAGGAGTATGATATGAAATTCAAATTATTACCACTCTCAAACGTTCGAGATTCTATTTTTTCACTGAAGGGACTGCTATGACCCCTCTTATCATATGCTTTTAATGTAACCTCATAAATGGTGTTTGGTTGAAGTTCATCAATTTCCAGCCACTGACTTGTGCTAGGTAAATAAAACAAATTGAGTAAATTTTTAAAAAATACAGTATTAAAAGGAAAATAATTACAGTTTGTAAGTAAAACATACCAGTTGATCACAACAGGGTCACCAGATTCCGACTTGTGACTTGATTGTACTTCTTTTATCATAACTGAATAGTATCTGACAATCACGAGAGGAGGGGCTGACCATGTAACATTGATGGTATAAGGAGATGTAGGCTCCGCCTCCAGCCCAAAAGGAGGGTCGATTGTTTTGTCCACTGAGTCATTTAGGCTACTCAATGTCGCTGTGGTAAGGTCTTTGGGAGCTTCAATAATTACGTCTGGAGATGTTTGTGATGGCATTTGAACAGATGTCCACTCTAGTTTAGCTTCGACTGCGGGCTTAGGCCAACCTTGTTTAGTACGAGCAAGCACACGCACTTCATAGTAGCTTTCAGGAATTAGATCTAGACAGAACAGGTAAGTATGGAATGAATACAGACTCAGATTGACAATCAAGAACACGCAATGTGGACAACCTACCTGTAATTGTGAAATTTAACACTTTAGCAGGGACTTCTTTCACCTTGGAAGTTGACCTTGGAACCTGGCGCCATTGAACCTTGTACTCAGTGACATGCCCATTTGTTTTGGCAGGTTCCAGAGGGATCCAGGATATGTTGAGCTTTGTAGCACTGATGATGGACAAGCTAACTTGGGGAGCAACACTTGGAACTAGAACAAAAGCACAAAGACTTGTAGCAATTGAAATTTACAATCAATTTTGAGAGTAACACGCATGAAGATAAAGACATTCAACTCTACCTGATTCTTTAGTTTCACAAGTCACATGGTTGGGCTCGCTGGCCCCACGTCTGCTGTAAGAACGTACAGCAAACGTGTAATTCGTGTACGGTTGCAGTGCAGTTACAGCACAGTAATTCTTTTTTGCAAGCTGCTCTTTGAATTCCATTTCACTTCCTACAAAAAGGAGAACAAAGCATTCAATCAAAATGCCCTTTAAAGATAGACACTGTTCATTATTTGTAAACAACAACAAAAATACCTGAGGGCCAGTAATGAACGGTGTAAGCTGTGATGTCTCCCATTGGTGGATTCCAATGCACAATAATAAAATCATCTCCGTGTTCATGGCAAGTTAAGTTTGAAGGAGGCGCTTGCAAGCCAGATGAATTGACATAAAGATGGGCCAGACCCCAGTTTTCTCCAACAGAATTGTGAAACATGCACTGATAAAAGCCAGTGTCAGATGCTATACTATTGGAAATCAGCAATAATTCGTTGTCAATGAGTTTAATGCGGCCTGCAAATTTAAAAACAAAACATATTAAGACAATAACAATTTGAAAATGGTCAGGTATTAAAACTATTCTCAAATCAGATTATACAACTGACCATTCTCAGCACTGTGATTGACCACAGCACCATTTTTGTACCATGTGATGGTTGGATATGGAACTCCATGAACAGCACAGGTGAATCTGGCAGTGCGAGCCGTAGGGTAAGACTGAGATTCTGGTGCCTCCAGCACAGTTGGTGGCACTAAGACTTGTAGCTCAACAGACTGTGAGAATGTTTTCAAAGTTTCCCGAAAAGTGCAGTTGTAAATTCCAGAATGGCTTTCATGCACATTGTGAAATGTCAAAATACTAATACCAGGCAGAGTTACATTTGAAGATGAATTCATCAGAGAAGCTAAACAAAGACAGTCAAAGTTAGTAAATCCCCAAAAACTCTTACAAAGCTCATCTATTATGACAATCAATATTCAAATGTAAAATAGATACCATTTGGTGCGGTCCAAGTTGGAAAACTACTTCCTGAATGAGAGCACTCTAAGGAAACATTTTCACCTTGAAGAATATGCACAAGTTTAGTATGAGACAGAAATGTGGCCTGTTTCCCTGCTGATGATTCATGTACTTGTAAAAAGGCATCAGTGCTGATACGAGATTTCTTGAGAATATCATTTGTAGTAATGCACCTGTAAATGATTAAATAAAATATACAAACTGCAGAGTCAGACAGAAGGATGACTAGGACAAATACTAACTTGTAACTTCCTTCATCTGATGATGTCACATTAGAAATGAGGAGAACACCAGATGAAAGTGTCACATATCTGGAAGAAAGAGAGAGAAAACAATTCACAAAATACCTTGACAAACCACAGAAATGATGTGGTTTGTAGAAAAATCCTAAAATTTACCTCGAGTTTGTCAATAATGGCTTGTCATCTTTCTTCCATGTGACCCTTGCTGTTGGAACAGAATCTACAGCACAGGAAAATCTCACCGTACCTCCAGACGGCAGTGTTATATTTTCTGGGCCTTGGACCGCATGAGACAAAGCTGGAAAGAAAGGAAGCCAATTTGAAAATGCAGAAGCAGACACTGAAAACCAAACTCTCAAAGCCAATAATTTGACTTACATGCAACAGTCAGGGCTGCCGCTCTTGACACCACCAGTCCTTGTGGCCCCTGCAAGGCACACCGATACTTTCCCAAATACTTGTCACTTCGGGAAACCTGGAGGAGAAACAAGAGAAGTTCAATTTTGTGCTGAAAGTTGCCAAAGCGAAAGGGCGAAGGGACAGAGTAGTTCCTACCTGGTGCACGACCAAGTTCCCCGCCCGGTCCACCACAAAGTGGCCCTTGTCCAGCTTGTCCAGGGGCTGGCCATCCTTGCTCCAGGACAGCGGCCACGAGGCGTAGGCGGGCGTCGGCGAGCACCTGAGCACCGCGTTGGCACCCTTCCGCACCACGACGTCCGCCGGCTCCTCGGCGAACAGCGCCGCGCTGCCCCCGGGGCCCCCGATGCCGCTGGGCCCCACAGGGGGGCGGTGCGGGGAGGGACCCGGCACAGGGAGGGCCACGGGGGGCAGGCCTTCCGATCCACCGGCCCCGCCGCCCACGCCGCCCCAGATCGCACCTGGAAGAGCGAGAGAGAAAACAAGAAATTGAAACAAGCTCCCTTTCTGCCATTTCGCATCTAGGCGGCGCCGCCGCTCGCTCCTCAAAAGCAAAGGGCCGTCACCCAGGACAGCAGAGACAATCAATGTCAACTTATTCAAATTTAAATCCAACTTAAGAGCCCGAAGGCCACGGCGTCGGCCGTCTTCCACTCCCGGCCCCTCTCCCTCCCTCCCAGCCCAGGAGATGGCCACTCCGGCCGCCACACGACCGCGCGACGCCGCGCTCTGCTCGGCGCCTCGAAGCATCGAAGCCCTCCAAAGGACAAGGCGGACATCGAGATAGAGCTGGAATAGTGAGTGGGACGCCGGCCGGGCACTGCCGGGCACTGCGCACTGTGGGCAGAGGTGCCGCGCGCCGCCCAGACCTAGTAAAAAGCAAGAGGAAGAGACCGAGCCAAGACGTGCTTCGGCGTCACGTCACTGTGCCGCCTTGTTGCCCACCAAGTACCCTCGGCCCTCGGCCCTCGGACGTCGTCGAGCGTCGAGCGGCGAGTCCAGCCCCGCAAGCGGCGAGCGGCACGCGGCGCCCGGGACGTCTAGGACGTCTAGGACGTGCCATCCATGATGTGGGACCCAACTGACACATCTACAAGTCAGAACGCGGCCGCTGAGGACGCTGGGACTGCCGCGCCGCGCCACGCCGCCTAGACCCTAGACCCTGTGCCCTCCTGCCCGAGGCAACACGGAAGGCGGGCTTGGCGGTGCAGGCGCCGTGTTACTGGGAGTGACAGTGGCCTGACGAATGACCCCGCCAACGTGCAGGCAGTGCACTGACTGCAGTGCAGGCGGTAAGCGACCCACAGGGATTCCACGCCAAAAACAACATGCCCGGCACATAGCCTTCGATTCATACCATGGTTAAACAAATCCCTCTACTTTTAAAAACCAAAACAAGGTTTTCGCAAAAATACAAAAAAAAAAAATTCTTCGCGGGCAGCGAATTTTTCACAAGAGAGCCGACAGGAGGCGCCACACTGCGACTAATGCCGCAACCTGATTGGACAGCCGACACGCTTAGGAGAGAATTTAGCTGGCAAATGTTGGCTCGGGTCCGCGGCTGCGCGAGGCCGCGCCAACGGCGCCAACACACAAACGGGGTGGGATTGGCGGGGCGGCCCCTTCCCTAATTATCGGGTGGCTCAAAGGGCGGCGAGGCCGCCTCGGAATTCAAAGTACAACAACACGATAGTCTCGGTGGCGGACTGGGGGACGGAGGGGACGAGAGCGCCCGGACACCCCACAGTGGGCCAGAGGACCGGTGGAGGCGGCCAAAACTCTAGACGCGTTTGGAGCTCCAGAGTCGCTAAACAGGACTCGAACCGAACGTGTGACCCCACCAATGGATTGCTCTCCGAACGAGGAATCCATTGGTAGGGTCACACGGTTGGTTAGAGTCCTGTTTAGCGACTCGAGAGCTCGAAACGCGTCTCGAGTTTTGGCCGCCTCCACCGGTCTTCTGGCCACTGTGCACCCTCGGCTGAAGGCGAGGCTGGAGGCACCCTCGGAGTGGGGAAAGCGAGAGCAAGGCGTGCCGCAGTACAGGTGCGCCCCACCCTTTTTTATTATAAATCTCCTCTCCGCCGAGTGAAGCCCAGGGCGCCACCCCGCGCCCCACTCGCCCGGCCCGCCCCTCCGCGTCCGCCTCCGCCCGCCTCCGCGCGCCGCCGCCAATTCAATATCAAAATATTTGCTCTCGGCATATTTCCGAGGCCCTGCCGCCTTCTGTCCGCCGCGCGGGCTTCCGCGACGGGGCGGGGCTGGCGGGGCTTTCTAGGCCGGGGCGGGCGGGCCGCACGTGTTTACCACCGAAGAAGCCCCTCACGGCAATAATGACGACGTTGGCGGCGTTCAACCGCGAACGCCGTCCGGACGTTTAATGGGGAGGGACGCCGAGGCGAGCCCAGGCGCCAAATCAGGGAATCAGGGCGGAGGAGGCGGCCAAGGAAACGGCGACGATGTCGGCGAGGACGCACAGTGGGCCAGAAGGCCGGTTGGAGGCAGCCAAAATTCTAGACACGTTTTGAGCTCCAGATTCGCAAACTGAGACTCGAAACGAGCGTGTGACCTCACCAACGGATTGCTCTCTGAACGAGGAATCCAGTGACGGTGTCACACGTTCGGGTCGAGTCCTATTTAGCGGCTCCGGAGCTCAAAACGCGTGTAGAGTTTTGGCCGCCGGGGGCGGTCTTCTGGCCCACTGTGTGACGGCGACGCTCGCGGCGCTCCCACAGCAGCCCCAGCGCATCCCCGTGTCGGCGTGTCGCGTTGCGGATCGAACGACACGCGAGGAAAGGCACGCCAGCGAAGCTCATTCCGGCTCCACTTTCGCGCCCAGTGGCGTCCCCAGTGCAGCAACCGGTGGCAAAGCGGCACAGGCAGAGGCGGCAGCACAAAAGACGCTGGAAAACATTTTTTTAACAAGTCGTTTCCCATCCGGCTGACCCTCCAGCGGGTGGTGGGGCCGGCCTGGACTGGAGCCCGGGCTTGGGGCCAGGCTTGGGACCTACGGGGTCGGACGGGACCGAGAAGGACCAGACACAAACACGAGCTCTCCTTTGAGGCTTTGGCGACGCCATGGCGACGCCCGGCCAGCTACTCCCCGCGATCCTCGGACGGGCAGGACGGGCGTGCGCACACTGCCAAAACAGTCCCGCCCGTCCAACCCTGTCCCGACCGAATGCTCCCAAACGCTACCGCGTTAGATAAGGAAAATCGTACGGGAGACCGTTCACCGACGTAACCAAACGGTCGTGACGCTTCTCAAAGACTTGCCGGCACCTCTGTGCGGCCCCGACCGGCAGGCACACCGTAATGAAGCAAAGTCGCCGACCGGGACACGCGCGGCCAACGCCAACATCGACGTGGCACGACCCGAGGGGACCAAAGAGGCGGCAGAATCACAGAGATTCTTCAAGGAGCGCTCCCATGTCGAGGGACTCCTGGGGCCGCCGCCGCCCCCTGTCTCCGTGCGAACCGCCCCTTGCGCGTGGATACGGCGGTGCGGCGCCATCCACTCGGCTGCTTATTGCCGACGCCAGCCCGGCCGGCCCGCGAGGACGTCCACGCCGTGCCACGCCGTGCCACGCCGTGCCACGCGGAGCGAGGAGGGGGTCTTCACACCACCCACTTCTACCCTGTGAATAATACATTTTGCAACCTAATCCAGAATCCCAGGCGTCCCCAAGAAGTCGATTCGCGCCGCGCCTCCCCCGCCCCACCCGCACCGCGCCTTGCAGTGAGCAAGGCAGGCGAGGCAGCGGCCACCGCCCCGTACGCCGCCCCGTGCGCCGTGCGCCGCCCCGAGCCACTCACAAACTCGGCACGCGAGGCTTTGTATGCCGGAGTTTGCCCCGCCGGGCCGCGCCGTGCCGTTTGCCGGTGAAGTGAATACCCCGGCAGCCGATCGGGGCAGCAAGGCCCTGCCGTGGCCCTGCCCTTCCCGAGGGGCCCGCAGCCGGAGCAGCAAAGGGAATTTCTTTTCTCAAAGTCGCGAACAAGCGTGGCCCCTGACCGGGCCCTGGCCTCCAACGAGGCAAACGCCCTTTGATTGGCCCCACAGTGGGACCCGAGAGACACAGCACGCTGCCGCGCTCCAGCCAGCCGCACAGTGCACTGCTGGAACAGGTGTCTGGAAGGGGTGAATGCAGACGATGAAGCGGCCGGGTCGATGGCGAGGGGCGGGGCGGGGCGGGGCTGCGGACAAGCCACCGCACGCAGTGCGAACGCGCAGTGCAAGCGGCAGCACAGTGGCGAGGCCGGCCGCAAGTGCGGTTCAAAACGCCACCGCAACATTCAGCCGCCAGCCCGCGCCAGCCGGCCGGCTGCTGAGCCCCGCGTGCTGCCGCGCCACGCGCCGCCACGCCGCGCCACGCGATGGCTTTCAATCGCCGGAACAAGAGAGGCGCGGCCAGAGGCGGCCAGACGCACGCCTCAAGGGGAGGCGTCGGTTACAGGTCACGCCGTAAGCGGCAAGCGGCCACAAGCGGCGCGAAGTGTCGCCAACAAAGGATGCTGCGACGCTGCGACGAGTCCACGGCGGCGGCACGACAGCGGCAGCACGGCAGCGCCCCCGAGGGGCCTCCCAGCCCCAGCCAGCGCCAGCCAGCCAGGCGAGGCCCGCATGCAACGCCGGCGCCGGCAACGCCACACCCCCGCCAACGACCGCGGCAGTGGCCGAGGCAGCGGCGTGGCGAAGGGGCGGCGTCAACCCCCCAAAGTGCAGCGGGGTGGCGGCGTGCGCGAGGAGAGGAGAGCCCCCAATAGAATACATTGGAGAGCAAATTTGGGCGCCACGCTTCTCCATTTCTAAAGCAGTGTCGTTGTCTCTCCGGCAACCACCCCTACGGGGAGGCGAGGCGACCGGCGACAGCGCTCTGCGAGTTTCGCCGCTCCCAGAAAAGCAGGGGATGCGCTCCAAGCTAAGTCAAAACCTTCGCCTCGCCTTCGCCCCTGCAGGCATCTCGCAAAACGAACCACCGCATTGGAGCCCTTCGGGCGAAACGAATCCCCAGCAACACGCCGCCGGGCGGGCCGCGGAGCCCCTGCCTCTTTGCGCGTGCCTGCAGGCTGATTCGGGGCACTGCTTTCGTGGCGGTCTCTTTTGCACCCTTGCGGCACGGCTTGTGAGTGCGAGAGAGACAGGGCGACAGAGCAGTGCTCGGGGAGGGAGGGCGCCGTGCCGGTAGGCAACCAGCAGGCAAGAGCGCACCCCTGCTCGACGGGATTGCCTACGTGCGAGGGGCCCCCGCTGCACAGTGAGCCAAAAAACCGGCGAAGGCGTCAATTCTGGACACATTTTGAGCGTCTGAGTCACTAAATGGGACTCGAACCGAACGTGTGACCCCACCAATGGATTGCTCTCCGAACGAGGAATCCAGTGGTGGGGTCACACGTTCGTTTCGAGTCCTGTTTAGAGACTGGAGCTCAAAACGCGTCCGGGATGACGCCGAAGACGCTC